CCAATTTAATCAGGTTTTCGACTAAACGATTTCTTTATTTGAGCTTGCTAATCAAAAATATGGGCTTTTACGCCAGTGTGTCTTAAAAAGCTATGGCTCCTTCAGAATGGCTTTCACGGCATATTGCACTAGCCCATTGCTTTAAATGCATATTGGACCATATGCGAGGCGATAACTTATAAGCGTTTTTTGGTGTACGAACCTGGTTTTAGTTTCCGAAAGCTTATATGGAGATCAACTGCCAAATCATCATTCGTCCTTGATACCTTTCGACCATGAACTTTACCACCTGTCTTTCAGCCTTTTCCAACATTAGTTCGACACATTGCGAATTATAATGTTGATCGGTCGCTCTTCATCGCGCTTTGGGGCGCGAGCGAAGTGGAACACTTTCCTTTTGTATTTAGTCAGAGGGAAAGTTGCTATTAATCCGTGTTCGGTCCATTCGTTGAGCGCCTTATTGGACATCCAGGACTAATATTACGTTCTTGATTTTGTAAATTATTCTGTAACCTACAATGTGCATGCAGAAGCTTTCAAACTCGTACAACTCATTATTCTCCTTCTTTTGTTCATAATGCTGCGGAGTACATCAGTTCTGGACAATCCGTAGTCAGACATAAACGTATTTCACTCATGTAGCGACAGCAGTTTTAGAGAGGTCTTGCTGCAGCATGTTCAGAGTACTTTGACCTTTCCGATTACTTCTTGGTCATCAGTCTCGCTTATTCCGTCACAGATCATGGATCTAAGATAGCAAATATGATTGACGTATTGCATATCGTCTCGTAAGTCTGCATGTTCCAAATATTCTTTTAACTATACCATGACAGACGGACTTCGTTCTTCAATGGCTTTCATCTCAGACATGCGTCTGAAGTGTCGCTGACCATTTCTGTGGCTGTTGGTGCCTTCCGAATTTCTTCCCGAATTTCGTTGCAGTGGACTTCTGATGGATGGCGTATTCGCTGTTATATTTCTAACTACATCCATCATCACCTTTATGAAATTATTGGACAACACAGGTCCGCAGCTCGATCTCTGCCGTACACAGCCATCATTCGCATAATTGTGGAACCGCTTTAGCCCTTTAACAGTATTCCTACCCACTTTGTGCCTGCAGTCACTGAGTATAGCTGGGTTTGTTCTTTTGCAATGAATGGTCATTGATAACGGTCAGAGATTGTCTCTCTGATATGCAGTTGTTTCAGAATTTTACTGCTCATTGTGTTTTAAGATAGGTATTGCAATCGGGAAACCTCAGCATTGCCTTCAACATCGCCGTTTACGTATATCCAATATTTTGTCACGTCTTTTTTATATTCATTTTTGCTTGTTTACCATTAGCCATATGTGAATATTGTTACCTTGTCATTTGTTTAGTCCTGAAGACGATATTTCTGTTTTAAGCGTAGACATTGTAGGTATAAAGTTTTCCTCCTTCCGTAGCAGATATTTTTTGAAATATCGCTTAATTATAATCTGCTAACATGTGCTACTAACGAGTTTCTGTAATTAATGTCGAATCTTTTATGTTCGAACGCAATATCGCGAGAACGTATGCTAAGTGTATAAGCCTTA